CTCAACGGCCACGAAGTACCTTAAGAATTTTTGTGGGAGATTAGCAGCCAAATCTAAGAATACATATTTTTGCTAGTTAGCATGAGAAGGGGTTAAGACAAAAGATCTATGTTGCTGATAGGCAGACACTCTGACCATAGAAATGTCATTGGTAGAGAGGGCTCTGTGTGATGTCATTTCCCCTCCTCCCTTGAGCGGGAGGAATCAAATAAGAATTTACTGTTCCTCTTTCCTCTCTCTCTTTTACCAGTCATGGGAGCAGATACCAGTCTCCAGTCTCTACCAGTCTCTGCTCCAGTCTCATGCACATGCCTGTACAGCTTATACTGTATAAGTATTTTGTCTCCATTTAATTTTCTGCTGTTGCTGTTAATAATAATAATAAATTTTATTTATACCCCGCCCTCCCCAGCCAGAGCCGGGCTCAGGGCGGCTAACACCAATAAAATCACAGTAAAAACATAATGGGGGGACGACCCAATTTAAAATACAGGTTAAAATGCAATTTAAAATGCAGCCTCATTTTAAAAATAGCCGATAAATCAAGACCATAAGGGGAGGGAAACATAAGGGTCAGACTAAGTCCAAACCAAAGGCCAGGCGGAACAGCTCTGTCTTGCAGGCCCTGCGGAAAGATTTCAAGTCCCACAGGGCCCTAGTTTCTTGTGACAGATCGTTCCACCAAGTCGGGGCTGAAAAGGCCCTGGCCCTAGTTGAGACCAATCTAACCACCTTGTGATCTCCAGAATGTTGTCATTTGTGGACCTTAAGGTCCTCCGCGGGGCATACCAGGAGAGGCGGTCCCGTAGGTACGTGGGTCCTAGGCCAATGCATGAGAATGCATGAGAACCAATGCATGATTATTAGTAAGTAAAACATAATTTAAACTTACTTCGCAGTCTGTTGCCTGATTCTTTGTTAAGCGAGGCAAGAAAAGAGGGAGCCAGCATGCTCTGCAGCTGGAATTACTTTAAGGAAGGCTACACAGCCTATTTCTATATACAGTGGTACCTCGGGTTAAGTACTTAATTCATTCTGGAGGTCCGTTCTTAACCTGAAACTGTTCTTAACCTGAGGTACCACTTTAGCTAATGGGGCCTCCTGCTGCCGCCGCGCCACCGGAGCACAATTTCTGTTCTCATCCCGAAGCAAAGTTCTTAACCTGAAGCACTATTTCTGGGTTAGCGGTGTCTGTAACCTGAAGCATATGTAACCCGAGGTACCACTGTACTTTCCATTTTTCTGCTAAGGATGGGAATTTAAACTCTGCTCAGTTTATGTTCAACCCACAAACATGGCTGCCTGCAGGGATTAATTGCAATTAATATATCCTTTCCTACCTATTAAACCAATCTCACAATTTTAAGGTGCAACGTTTTATTGCTGCTAACTTTGGGGTTTTTTTCCAGAGCAGGGCAGTGGCTGTAAAAGGGATCAGGGCACGGCCCATTAATGAGATCTTCTGTACTTCAAAGTACATGTGTTCGGAAGTTCATCTCCGTAGATACCCAAATAAACACAGATGACTTCAAAGTGATTTAAGTCCCACAAGGTGAGAGCAACCCCACTGAACGCCACTCAAGGCAGCTGCTTTGACCAGCTTGCAGGGTGTGGCGATGTTCTCTTTAATACTTCTCCCCAAAAGCACAGAGATTATTTGCAAGGCTCCAAACTTAAAAATGGAAAGCGTAATGCTGGTGGTCAACAAAAGAGGTTTAAAGACTCTTTCAAGACAAATCGTTAAAAATGTAGTATAAACACCAACAATTGGGAAACACTTGCCTGCAAGTGCTCCAGTTGGAGAACAGCCTTTACCAAAGGTGTCATGTTACAGATAGGTAGCCGTGTTGGTCTGCCATAGTCAAAACAAAAAAAATTCCTTCCAGTAGCACCTTAAAGACCAACTAAGTTAGTTCTTGGTATGAGCTTTCGTGTGCATGTGTATCTGAAGAAGTGTGCATGCACACGAAAGCTCATACCAAGAACTAACTTAGTTGGTCTTTAAGTTGCTACTGGAAGGAATTTTTTTTGTTTTGACAAAGGTGTCATGGGCTCTGAAAGACACTTGAACTCAGGACACAAGGGAGAAATGTGCTAAGAGGAAGGCACGCTTGGCAAATCCACACCGTGATTACCTCCCGCCCAGAAACCAATGCTCCCACTGTGGAGGGACATGTGGATCCAGAATTGGCCTCCACAGTCACTTACGGACTCATTGTTAAAACTGGGTTTATGGAAGGAAATCTTACTCGGCTACAAGGGATCACCAGATAAGAAGATATGCAAGGCACTAAGCATTCCATATGAGGCGCGGGTGGCGCTGTGGGTTAAACTACAGAGCCTAGGACTTGCCGATCAGAAGGTGAGCGGTTTGAATCCCAGCGATGGGATGAGCTCCCGTTGCTCGGTCCCTGCTCCTGCCAACCTAGCTGTTTGAAAGCACCTCAAAGTGCAAGTAAATAAATAGGTACCGCTCCGGCGGGAAGGTAAACGGTGTTTCCGTGCGCTGCTCTGGCTCGCCAGAAGTGGCTTAGTCATGCTGGCCACAAGACCCAGAAGCTGTCTGCAGACAAATGCCGGCTCCCTCGGCCTATTGAGCGAAATGAGCGCACAACCCCAGAGTTGGCCACGACTGGACCTAATGGTCAGGGGTCCCTTTACCTTTACCTTTAAACCGCCCAGAATAGCTGGCGAAACCCAGCCAGATGGGCAGGGATTAGTAGTAGTAGTAGTATTACTAGGCAGTGTGGTGTCGTGGTTAGAGTGCTGCACTAGGACCTGAGAGACTAGGGTTCAAATCCCCACCTGGCATTAAGCTCACTGGGAAACCTTGGGCAAGCTACATCGCAGGGTTGTCGTGGTGATCGGGACTGGCAGGCCTCTGAGGAGTGTGTGACGGAGGCATGGGACAGAGGTGTTAGGATATAGTTCCATTCCACCTTTCGAACAGGCATGTGGAGTTGCTGTATGTCACATGTCTGTTTACTTCCAGCACAGTCTGCTAGGAACTTCCATTGTACAGTGGTACCAGTATTACGCTTTCCATTTTTAAGTTCGGAATAGAGTAGTTGCTCTGGAAGACGATAATCAGGCATCCACACCAGCGGCGTAGCGTGGGTTGTCAGCACCCGGGGCAAGGCAAGTAATTTGCGCCCCCTAACCCGGGGACAAGGCAAGTAATTTGCGCCCCCTAACCCGGGGCAAGGCAAGTAATTTGCGCCCCCTAACCCCTAACCTGCCGCCGCTGCCAGCTTCTTCTTGCTGCTGCCTGGGCTGGGGTATTTACAGTAAGGTAGCCACCACCACAACGGCGGGTCCGTGTCAGGTGATCTGAGGCGAGTTGCCACTGGCGCTGCCGCCCAAACGACGACGACGCTTGCCCGGAGGAGGAGGAGGGCAGAGAGGCGAGGAAAATGCAACATGGCCCAGCAGCTGCAGCGGCGGCGGCGGCAGCGGGGCTGTGAGGAGGGGCTGCCTGGCGCGCCCTCCGCGGCCCTGACGCGCGGGGACCGCGGTGAGCACTGAGAGCCGCTGCCAGCTCGTCGGTTCCGCGAGACATGGGGCTCTGCTACAGCCTGCGCCCGAGGCTCTTCGGCGACTCCGGAGGTGGCGAGCGTGCCCCCCCCCCAGATGTTGCGCCCGGTGCGGCCGGCCCCCCCTGCACCCCCCACGCTACGCCACTGATCCACACAACAGGACCAGTCCAACAAAGTTGATGTTGAAGAATCATTGCTTCGACACTGGTGAGCTTTCCTTCTTCCAGTAGAGTGGTACCTCGGGCTAAGAACTTAATTTGTTCTGGAGGTCCGTTCTTAACCTGAAACTGTTCTTAACCTGAGGTACCACTTTAGCTAATGGGGCCTCCCGCTGCCGCCGCACGATTTCTGCCCTCACCCTGAAGCAAAGTTCTTAACCCAAGGTGCTATTTCTGAGTTAGCGGGGTCTGTAACCTGAAGCATATGTAACCCGAGGTACCACTGTATATAGCTTACATGGGACCCAGGAGAGGGGACCAGTGATTTATGGGGTGTGATGGCACCCGCAACTGAGCCATGGCAAAAGTGAAAACTGCGAAGGACATGACAAAACACAAAGCTTAGATCGCCTCTGGACTGTCAGTGTTTTGCGCAATGAATCAAATCTCAATCTAGGAATGAAGTTCTCTGCAATTAAAGTGGAGTATTGTGCTCTGAGGGGACGTGGGTGACGCTGTGGGTAAAAGCCTCAGCGCCTAGGGCTTGCCGATCGAAAGGTCGGCGGTTCGAATCCCCGCAGCGGGGTGCGCTCCCGTTGTTCGGTCCCAGCGCCTGCCAACCTAGCAGTTCGAAAGCACCCCCGGGTGCAAGTAGATAAATAGGGACCGCTTACTAGCGGGAAGGTAAACGGCGTTTCCGTGTGCGGTTCTGGCTCGCCAGAGCAGCGATGTCACGCTGGCCACGTGACCCAGAAGTGTCTCCGGACAGCGCTGGCCCCCGGCCTATAGAGTGAGATGGGCGCACAACCCTAGAGTCTGTCAAGACTGGCCCGTACGGGCAGGGGTACCTTTACCTTTACCTTTATTGTGCTCTGATGCAACAAATCCATCTATACGCCAGCCATCTTCAAATATCTCAAGGGCTGTCCCCATGGAAGATGGAGCAAGCTGGTTTTCTCCTGCTCTGGAGGGCAGGACTCGAACCCATGGCTTCAAGTGAAAGGAGATTCTGACTAAACATACGGAAAAGCTTTCTGACAGCAAGAGCTGTTTGACAGTGGAACGGTCTCCCTCGGGAGGCTGCGGACTCTCCTTCCTTGGAGGTTTCTAAACAGAGGTTGGATGGCCATCTGTCAGGGAAGCTTTAGCTGAGATTCCTGCATTGAAGGGGGTTGGACTAGATGGCCCTCATGGGTCCCTCTATTACAATTCTATTAAATTCTCTACAATTCTATCCAGTCCACTTTTACATATAAAAAAAAGTTTTTGTGGTTAGGAAACTGATGAAATCACGCACGAAACAGTGTGGGGTAATTTCCTGATCAATGGGAATTTTTTATTATTTATTCGGTTTACATCCTGCCCTAGCTCCCGAAGGAGACATATAATCTATCCACACAAGTAAATCAGGATGGATTGCTCATTGTTGTATAAACTGCCTGCAAACAGATTGCGGTAGGCGTTCGACAAAAACGGGGGCATCGTGTAATTTCAGCATAAGCGTCGTGCAACAAGTTAGGATAAATGATTGATAAAGAGGAGAGGGTTTCTGGAAGGGTACTTCATGCATAAAAAGAGAATCATGCAAAGCCCGTCCCCAATGTATCTACATGCAACAGATCCATTTCGGACAGCCTCACATTGAGAAGGAAGATTTTAAGGGGATTTTAAGATGAGTTCTGGTGACTGCTCTCAGAATCCTGCCTGGCTATTGGGAGCCGTGATCAGGTGTGCATAAGGGCACATCTTTAAGACTAAGTGTTCGGCCACATTTCCGTTTGACCTGCATTTTTATTGCATTCTGTAGCAATTCATTTCCCCAGGTCCGGGAGATTTTCTCGATGCTCCGCAGCTGGGCTTTGCGAAACTCTGACCTTAATCTTATCGGATGCACAGGAAATCCAAAGAAAGGTTTTGCTGCTAAAGGAGCTTCAGTGCAGTGGGCAAGATAGGGTTTTCACAAGGCACAGTCATGGAACAATGAGAAAAACTCTCAGATCCGGGGGTAATTAACTTGAAAACAATATGATAAAAATACAAGTCATGTGAAAGTCTCGCTGCCTTTCCTCGGGAAAACTGCTCTTTAGTCCTCAATCAGAGACAACAGCCATTTGGGTTTTCCGTGAATTGCTGTTTGTTCTGATTTAGAGCTAAAGAGCAGGTTTTCCCTGGGAAAGGAGTGGGACAAGAGGGAAACTGCTTGGAACTGTGTTTTCTAAACATGGGGTGAGCCACGAAAGGCAGAGTCAGAGACGATGAGCTGAGCAAAGGGCTGACTGGCATCCCCAAAATACTTAAGCACCAGGTCTCTGATTCTCTTTTCAGCCAGGAGGAGCAGGCTGGCCAGCATTTTTCACAGCGCAAAGCATTTTCGCCCCCCGTTTTCTTCGCCTGATGAGAAGAGGAGTCTGCAATTGCAGGAGGAGAGAGAGACTGAGATAGTGAAGCCAAGCTGGGGCTTGATCAAGGAGTTGTTGTCGTTTGCACACACACACACACACACACACCCCCAAGATCTTCTGCCTTTGCCTTCTGAATCACAGTCCAGGCCGGAGGAGGATGAAGAAGGAAGCAGCTGAGGTCCCCACCGTGATGTAGCTGATCTGCACGCTGGCTGCTCCATCGTGGTTGCAGAGATCCGTGTTGCAGCAGGTCACCGGGCGAGTCAAGCCAATCCCATCCACGTCGGACGGAATGCACCTCGAAGAACAAGACCGCGTGACGGTGGAATCGCCCTGGAATGGGTACACTGCAAACACAAGTGGCAAGACAGATCAACCCCTGTCGTCCACCCCTCTCCGAAATCCACCATGCTGCAGCAGGTACACGGTCCTCTGTGCCTCCCTTGTGCAGTTGTGAATTTCTGCACAACTGGGAAGTCGAGGCTGTGGATACCCTGCCAATGGGGTAAGGGAACAAGGGGGTTCAGAATCTCCAAATCATGTATTGCAGGGGATCGGGGCCCTTCCAACTCTGCAGTGCTAGGATTCTCTGCGGTTGGGGAAAGACCTTGGAGATCTAACCCACCTTTTGCAGAGATAAGAAAGCACCTCTTCAGAGGAGGTGGTTTGGAGGCTGGGTGGGTATGTTGGGAATTAGAAGACTGTATGAGAAGCCCACCTGAGCACAGCAGCAACGCAGACCCCCACCCTCATTCCTCACAGCTGGTAGTACCGGCTCCAAAAGTCAAGGTAGGCCTTTGTGGCTAGTAGCTACTGATATCCTGCACCAGATGATTCTAGGTCCACCATGTCCTTCCCCGTCGATAGTCTAATGACTAGACCATTTATATAGGAAGAAAACTGCTGGATCTGGCCAAGATCCCCCCCCCCGCCCCCAGTCCAGCACAGCTGAATGTTGGAAGATTCAGGGCAGATAAGAGAAGGTCCTTCTGCACACAGCACAAACTATGGAACTCATTTCCACAGGAGGCAGTGATGGTCACCAAGCTAGATGCCTTTAAAAAAGGATTTGGCAAATTCATGGAGGTTAAGGTAAAGGTAAGGGACCCCTGGACGGTTAAGTCCAGTCAAAGGCGACTATGGGGTTGTGGCGCTCATCTCGCTTTCAGGCCAAGGGAACCGGCGTTTGTCCACAGACAGCTTTCCAGGTCATGTGGCCAGCGTGACAAAACTGCTTCTGGCGCAATGGAACACTGTGACGTAAGCCAGAGCACACGGAAATGCCATTTACTTTCCCACCACAGTGGTATCTATTTATCTACTTGCACTTTGACATGCTTTCAAACTGCTAGGTTGGCAGGAGCTGGGGCAGAGCAACAGGAGCTCACTCCGTTTCGGGGGATTCGAACCGCCGACCTTCCGATCAGGAAGCCCAAGAGGCTCAGTGGTTTAGACCACAGCGCCAACCGCGTCATGGAGGAGAGGGCTGTTGATGACTACTAACCATGATGCCAATGTCCTGCCTTCACAGCTGGAGGCAGCAATGATTCTGAATGCCCCTTGCTGGGAACTGCAGGAAGGTAGATTACTCATGTATGGCTCAGGGCCCTCGTATTTACAGGACCGCCTCTCCTGGTCTGCCCTGCAGAGGACCTTAAGGTCCACAAATAATCATAGTTTAGAGGTCCCAGGCCCTAAGGAAGTCAGATTATCCTCCACCAGGGCCAGGGCCTTCTCAGTGATGGCTCCGACCTGGTGGAATGCTCTGTCCCACGAGACCAGGGCCCTGCAGTATTTAACTTCCTTCCACAGGGCCTGTAAGACAGAGCTATTCCACCTTGCTTCAATCTGAACTTAGCCTGATCTTTTATTCTCCTTCCTTCTCTCCCCCTCCCCTTTTTATGAAGATTACCCGCTCTGAGACCCCACAGCTAATTCTCCCCTGGTCTCGCTGGCCCAAATAGGACTAATTTAGCCACCTAGCCCTGATGATCATCTGATGTTTATTGGATGGATTTTCCTCCCTAAATTGATTTTTGAATTCTGAATTTATTGTTATTCATGTTTTATACTGTATTTTGTTGCATCAATTAAGTGTTTTAAATTTGTTGTTAGCCACCCTTAGCCTGGTTTTCTAAACCGGGAAGGGCGGGGTATAAATAAAAAAATATTTATATTTATTCAGTGGTGTAGCGTGGGGGGTGCAGGGGGGCGGCCGCACCGGGCGCAACATCTGGGGGTTAGGGTTAGGGGGCGCAAATCCACGGGTTAGGGGGTGCAAATTACTTGCCTTGCCCCGGGTGCTGACAACCCACGCTACGCCACTGTATTTATTTATGTGTTCGAATCCTGCTTACAGGTTTCTCACGGGCAACTGCTAAGCCCCTGTGAAAACAAGGATGCTGGAGTGAGTGAGCAATTGCCCTGGTCCATCAGACTCTTATGTTTTTAGCCAAATGCCAACATGAGAACTCCACAAACAGGACTTGAGGTCAACCACGCTCTCCCGTTTGGCGATCCCAGCCCAGGTGTTCAGAGGCAGGCTCTCTCAGAGAGTGGAAGGAGAACGCAGCCAAGTCTCTCACCTTCTTCACGCGAGTACATGGTAGTCTTGCACATGGTCTCATTCTGCAAGCAGTTGTCCACCTTCATGCATTTTACAGCCGTTATCGGCTCCGGGCAAGAATAACACCGCAAAGCCTGGGCTGTAGGGGAAAGGGTGACAGAAAAATCTTTACTAACACGAGTTGCCCGCAGGTCTACTTTCTTGCTCAATGCTCAAACCTGTTTTCAATTTTGAAAAGCTGAGAGCCAGCTTAGAGGTCCCTTTAATTGTGCGGTTTTCTTCTATTTAAAGATAAGCCTTTGGGAAGGGGGTGCATGAGGACCAAGGTAAGACAAGGTAAAGGACCCCTGAACGGTTAAGTCCAGTCAAAGGCGACTATGGGGTTGCGGCGCTCATCTCGCTTTCAGGCCAAGGGAGCCAGCGTTTGTCCACAGACAGCTTTCCGGGTCATGTGGCCAACAGGACTAAACCACTTCTGGTGCAATGGGACGCCGTGACGGAAACCAGAGCACATGGAAACATCATTTACCTTCCTGCCGAAGCAGTACCTATTTATCTACTTGCACTGGCGTGCTTTGGAACTGCTAGGTTGGCAGGAACTGGGACAGAGCAACGGGAGCTCACCCCGTCGTGGGGATTCGAACCGCCAACCTTCTGATCGGCAAGCCCAAGAGGCTTGGTGGTTTAGACCACAGGACCACAGAGCATGAGGAGAAGATATTTAGCTCTTCCCTCTCCAGCCACGTTTCCAAGGAAGACTCCCACTTCCACTTCTACCTGTGCTGTGTTTAGTCTTAGGGGAGGAAATTCCCATTGGAGCAGAGGTGAATGCCCATTTCAGGATATTAGGCAAAGAAGACATGGCAGTCAACGTAGGAGGTTACCCTTTCCAAAAGACAAAATGAAAGACACGAAGAAACACTGGGTTTTGGGGTGTTACCAAAGAGAAAAAAAACCCTCCAAAGCTTACAAATTTATGTGCATTTTCAGCACTTCAGCTCCTAACTTCATAGGAACGTACAAACCTCCCTTACACAGTCAGGTTAGTGATGGTGTATCTAGTTCTGTATCATCAACAGGCCAGGAAAGGGGAACCTGCGGCTCTCTACCAGATTTGTGGGACTACAACTCCCATCATCCCTTGCTGGCCAGGCCTGATGGGAGCGTTCGCTACATAGCTGTCAACTGTCCCTTATTTGGCGGGAAACTCCCTTATCCCAGCGCCGTTCCCCTCTGCTGTCCCGGATTGATGATGTCCCTTAAATTTCCCAGGTTTCAAAGGAAGCAGCTCCTCTCCCTCCCTCCCTGCCGGCCAGGGAGGAGGGAGGCTCCAACTGTGTTGCTTGGCTGCGTTGCTCACCCAATAAGGAGTCTAAGAACGACTGGGGGGTGGAGCTTGCATGCCTTGTGCCGATCAAATCGGCCGCATTGCCTGGGGACTCGCCTTTGCTCAGCGCTTCCCAGCGGAGAGGTGATGGTGCTTTTCCTTGCTGCATCCCTTTTGCTGGGTTGCTGCGCTGTGGGAACCACCGCTTGAGGCTTCATTTGGCTGCTGGCTGAGCTTTCTGCCTTTGGCTTGGAGGGGCTCAGAAGTTGAACATACCTGTCCTGGGAAAACCCCTTATTTTGGTTGCTGATTCCTTATTTTTGAGGCTGCTGGTCCCTTATTTTCAAATCTGTAAGTTGACAGCTATGGTTCGCTAATGAAATGCGCGTTTTATGCACACCTGTTGCGTAAGATGCTCTTTTTGTGCATGCTTTTTGAGCACTGTACATGCACTGCAAAATCCAGAGAAATGCGTATTCTTGTCCACAAGCACATTTCGGAGCATTGGACTTGGACCAAATGAATCCCTCCTCTGTTCCGAACACCAAGACCCCGTAAGGTGGACATAGATGAAACTTAGCTTAACTGGGGCCGGGTATCGTTTGGATATTGTTAAAAACAAACTTTCTTTTAGCATTCCGTAGCATCTAAAGATAATGCGGAGAGATCAGGTGTTTCTTGGCCGCCTTAGTGAGGATTTCCAGCTGGCCAACTCTGTCCACAGCACCTGTGGTTCCTTGCAGATTTACATAACAGCTGACACCCAGCAGAAAATCTGTGTGCCAAGCTCTGAATCAGATCCTTAGAGCTGCTTAGTTTGTGGTTTGTGTGGACAGGATTTTATTACTCTGCTGGTTTTTATTGTCCTGTAAGCTGCCTTGCACACTGGATGAAACGGAGGCTCCTAAGAACGTCAAAGGAAAAGGCTACCCAAATCTCACACAAAATGCAGCATAAAACAACTTAACTCAGTGCAAAGTGGGAGAGGGAAGTTGCATTTCATTTCACATTTACAGACCCTCCTATTGCCCCTATTTTCCAGGGACAGTCCCGGATTCACAGAGTTTCTGATTTGAGGCAAAAATTAAAAATAAAAAGAAAGGGCTGTATCTGAGGGGCAATGAGAGCATCTTCCTCAAATGCAGAAGGGTCCCACGTTCAAAATCACCAATAGTCTGCTCTGCCTACTAAAACAATCTCAGCAGCGCAGATGCAATCTCTGTTCAGAGCAGCAGCAGAGAGATATTGCCGTGCCTCTTTTAAAAAAAAACTAAGGGATCTGCAGGGCCAGATCAAGACATTTTGCTGCCAGAGGTGAACCAGAAAAGGCTTTCCTCCTCTTAGCTGAGGGTTCCCATATTCCAAAAAGTGAATATCCAGACACAAAAGTTGTTGTTGTTGTTGTTGCCCAAAGTTGTTGAGCTTTTTTTGTTTTTTGCAAACTCTCAATCAAAAGCCATTGAAGTTTTTGACCTATTTTTAAGAAAATTCGCCAAAATCTACACGTCTGACATTCCAACATGAGTTTCCATACTGGCTGGATTTCCCCGTGCATGTCAGCGATTTCCGCTCTGATTGTTTCCAGCGGCAAAATCCTGGCTATGTCTGGGAAATTCCGGACATATGGCAAGCCTATCTTAGCCATGCAACCTGGCAAGGACACTGAACAGTCAACAGGTGAAAACTACCACCCCTCATGATCTTAGAGACATATCTTAATCTTCTTTTTTCTTTTAAAAGCTCTGCTATAGCGCTCAATGGGACTTAAAGCCCAATCGTATGAATGCTTCCCTAGCAGCAAGTCCCATTAAGTTAAATAGGGCTTGCAGACTGATCCTATATATGTTTACTGAGCAGTAAGTTCCAAGGATCCATCCATCCCTTGGAACTTAAGGTAAAGGTAAAGGGACCCCTGACCATTAGGTCCAGTCGTGGCCGACTCTGGGGTTGCAGCGCTCATCTCTCTTTATTGGCCGAGGAAGCCAGTGTACAGCTTCCGGGTCATGTGGCCAGCATGACTAAGCCGCTTCTGGCGAACCAGAGCAGCGCATGGAAACGCCGTTTACCTTCCTGCCGGAGAGGTACCTATTTATCTACTTGCACTTTGACATGCTTTCAAACTGCTAGGTTGGCAGGAGTCGGGACCGAACAATGGGAGCTCACCCCATCGCGGGTATTCGAACCGCCGACCTTCTGATCGGCAAGTCCTAGGCTCTGTGGTTTAACCCACAGCACCACCCGCGTCCCTTGGAACTTACTGCTCAGTAAACATATACAGTGGTACCTCGGCTTACATACACTTCAGGTTACATACGCTTCAGGTTACAGACTCCGCTAACCCAGAAATAGTACCTCGGGTTAAGAACTTTGCTTCAGGATGAGAACAGAAATTGTGCTCCAGCGGCATGGCGGCAGCGGGAGGCCCTATTGGCCAAAGTGGTGCTTCAGGTTAAGAACAGTTTCAGGTTAAGAACAGACCTCCAGGACGAATTAAGTTCTTAACCCAAGGTACCACTGTATAAGATCGGTCTGCAAACCCTATTTAACTTAATGGGACTCTAAACCACTAAACAACAAAGTTCCAAGGGAATGCAGCCTGACTTTCCTGCCAAGGTGAGCCCACTTCCGAGGGAGTCCGTCCCGCTGGGAAGCAACTCTTACCCTCAGAAAGTTCTTCCTGGTGTTTATTCTGAATCTCCTTTCCTACGATTCGAAGCCATTGGTTCAGGTCCTGCCCTCCAGAGCAAGAGAAAACAAGCTTGCTCCATCTTCCATGGATATTTGAAGATGGCTCTCCTAGCACCTCTCGGTCTCCTCTTCTCCAGGGCTAAAGATCCCCAACTCCCTCAATTTAACTCTCAGCCAACTGAAACATCAAAAAAAGGATCTGCGTAAATAAAAGGGGCCTTACCAAACTCAGCACACCAAAGAGTAGCCAGCAATGCAGTCAGAAACACCTTCATCCTTCTTCTTGAGCAATGCCTCACCATCTCAGCATTCCAGTTTTGCCGGTCGACAGCCCGGACAAAGGCAGAATTTTGATTCTCTGCCTTTTACTCTCACGGCAATGGTGGGTTGTTGTTGATGTTTTTCTCCCAACCTATCATGTCCCTCCTCTCTGAAACAATATTGTGCCGAAAAAAACAAGTTCCCTTTCAGTCTAGAGAGGATTAAGCTACCTGAAACCAAAAGCAAACACACCTGCCTGGTTTATTCTGCCCCACATCTGCTAGGAATTTGCTACCTAACCCCCCCCCAGGGGTCTCTCTGAATTCCTGCTCCGCCTTGGGGCCTTGGTTTCTTTGCCTTTCACTGATCCACGGACATTTGTTTTATGCTTTGATCATTTGCTTTATTAATTTTAAGAAGAAAATAAGGGAATTTGGGGGTATAATATGCAACGAACTCAAAAAGATGTTTAAAATCTCTTCTGTAAAAAACTGGAGCATCACTGCTGCCAATTGTGGAGAAAGAAGAAATTGTTATAGATTGGGGGGCTTCCCCCCAAACCCTAGAAATTAATAAATGGTAGGATTTTGACTAGCTGGGATATGGATGAATGGACAACTGCAGAACTGTGCCAAACAAGGAATCCCTGGGCTGGCTTCTGCAAACCAGCTAATCTGTTTTGTTTTGTTTTTTAAAATCATTTTTTATTGATTTTCTAATATAAACAGCCAATCAACATATCCGAATCATAATCCAATTAAAAATAATAAACTAAAAAATTTTAAATGAACTATTATAGTCCAAATTGTAATTATTAATTTTTCCGGGCTCCCCATAGTCTGGACCTTTGAAGCATATCTCCAAATCTTCATTCCTGCCTCTTCTCATTGTTTTCATATTATCCGCTTTCTGATCTTAACGCTTTAAAGTTCTCTATCCCTGGCTCTACGTTTCTCAGTAACAGCAGAAATCATATATCCTTTTGTCCGTCGAATACAGCTTTATTTGTGTATATATATATTTTCAACTGTCTATTTGCCAGCGCAGCTTTCCCTGACTCCATTCTAATCTTCCAATCCGAGCTGTTGTCCAAGCTTTTCGTTTGAGATTTAATAACATAGTAGCTTCCACATTGTTAAGTTATTACAGTAAATTGTAAAGTATACTGTATGCAATAATGCAATGTAAATGAGCTGTATTCCACAGATATAAGGCGCAATCCCCCCTCCGGGCCCTAGAGGGCGGGCTGCTAGACATCCATTCAGCCTTCTCTCTCGCTCATAATGAAAAACTTCTGCAAACAGCTGCACTGTATGTTGTCCCAAATTGTTATCTTCAGTCATTACAAAGTCAGCCAGCAAATATTCCCTGCTTCTCTCGAAAAGGGAGGAATTCTCATTTTTCCGTGCTGCGTCATATTAACAAGCGCCATCTTTGTTTCTTCTTTTATCTTTATCAAGTCTTTCAAGTCTAAGTAAAGCTGCGCAGTTGAATGCTTAATTATAAATAAAAGTCCATCTGTACTCTTTTTTTAAAAAAAAATAAGTTTCTTAATGAGGCTTGGCATTGAAAACCAATTGTATTATTTTTTTAATTGCTTTTTATTAAATTTTTCACAATCAAAAATAAAACAAAATAAAACTATCTTTTACAGTCATCATTTTATGTCATCTTATTTACACTGCGTATATTCACGCCCAGACTTCCTTCCTTCCCGCTTCGGTTTTCTTAATATATGTCTTCTCTTGTAGATTCTTATTCAACTTCCATACACATCACAGGATTTATATCAACCCTGCTGTAGTCTTTAGACTTCTACAGTTAGATCTTATATATGCCACAAATTTACCCTTCTTCAAACTTTGTCCCTTTTTGGTCTCGAATTCTGTAGGTCATTTTAGCTAATTCTGTATACTCAAAAAATTTAGCCTGCCATTCCATTATTGTTGGGGTCTCCTGTAATTTCCATTTTTGAGCTACCAGTATTCTAGCTGCTGCAGTAGCATATTGGAATAATTTATTGTCCTCCTTCTTAACTTCTTCCCCTAGGACCCCTAATAGAAAAGCTTCCGGTTTTTCGGGAATGTATACTTTAAAAGTTTCTTCAGTTCATTATATATTAAATCCCCCCAAAATTTCATCTTTTCACACTGCCACCACATGTGGTAGAGATCCCCATTCTTTTACTTTACATTTCCAACAGGCTTTATTACTCAATTTATACATTTTGGCCAATTTAACCGGGGTGATGTACCAACAGTACATCATTTTTCCTAAATTTTCTCTTAAGGTGGAGCATGCTGTAAATTTCATACCTACGTTCCATAATTTAACCCATTTGTCGTATTCAATATTATAGCCAAAATCGACCGCCCACTTTATCATAACTTCTTTTACTAGTGGTGCTGTGGGTAAAAGCCTCAGCGCCTAGGGCTTGCCGATCGAAAGGTCGGTGGTTCGAATCCCCGCGGCGGGGTGCGCTCCCGTTGCTCGGTCCCAGTGCCTGCCAACCTAGCAGTTCAAAAGCACTCCTGGGTGCAAGTAGATAAATAGGGACCGCTTACTAGTGGGAAGGTAAACGGCGTTTCCGTGTGCGGCTCTGGCTCGCCAGATGCAGCTTTGTCACGCTGGCCACGTGACCCGGAAGTGTCTCCGGACAGCGCTGGCCCCCGGCCTCTTGAGTGAGATGGGCGCACAACCCTAGAGTCTGTCAAGACTGGCCCGTACGGGCAGGGGTACCTTTACCTTTACCTTACTTAGTGTCCCATTCCAGCAAGTAATCATACATTTTAGACAGGAGTTTTGTTCTACTCTCCAAGATATCTATTTGGTATTTGGACTTTTTCTCACTATATCCCTTTTTTTAAATCTTCTTTTAATAAACCATTCACTTGATGATATTGTAGTCATCCTGTAAACCCATCTTTTATTTCCTCATATGGTTTAATTTTCCATCCATTCTCTGTTTTCACTAATATATCTTCGTAAGTTACTCTCTTTCCCTCCATATTTAATTTTTTGTTGTTAACACATCTATCGGCATTGAAAACTAATTGTAGATGTTAAGAAGAGAAAAAGGACATACCAAACACCTCCGTAATCCACACGCCATGATAAGAATCTCTTTGAAATCTGAGCTTAAACACCAGGAACTGTACAGTTCTGCAGGTTTTTCCTTAGTCTTCTTCGGTCCTGGCTGTGTCTGTTTATTGTCCAAATCCAATCATTTTATCAAACAGATATTTCCGGCTATGAGAGTGACATCAGAGAGTGCCAGCCGTGCCGTGCTCTGGGACCCAGTGTCCTGCCGCTTGCACCTTGATGCAAGCTGACAATCTCCGACAATCTGCGGGTCTGCGAGACAGTCCTCCCCCACCCTGGGGAGTCTGCCAGGGCTAATTACCCCCATATCAGCCCTGAATTACCGGCATGGCTGGGATCCGATCATATGGGAATCGGCCATTTCCCACTGCCAGAAACAGGAAGCCCCACCATCTAATCTGTTGCTTGATGGGCCATCCAAGAGGAATCCTTTGGCCTGGGGAGACAGAGGTTTCCAAGGTGAAGGGGTGTTTCTTTAAAATGACAGGAAAAGAGAGTTTTTAGCAAGGTGTTCTGGGAAGGAGGAGGAGGAAGAGAGACCAAGATCCATCTTGGGCAGGCTGGCTGAAGGCTGGCTGGGAGATATGCCTTTGACCCCAAGGACTGCACAAGCCCTTCTGGAAATGACCATGCTGTGAGATCTGGACTCCCTCCACGCAGACTGAAGGTGTAAACAGTGGAATAAATCATATTTCTTAAAGCTACGACGTCTCTGCCACATCTTCTGTTCTCCAAAAGAACACAGGCCCTGGGTGAGTGCCTGGAACTCCCTTGGATATTGCAGAGTGTGGGGATGGCACCCGATTTTGTAAAAATATCCATGGGGTTAGTTGATGGTCTGACTCAGTCTGCAGCAGTTTCCTATGTGCCTAAAATTCTTACTGGTCTCTTTGAGAGGTTTTCGTGAGCATCCTCAGCACTGCAAAAGCAAACACCAAGCACTCGCTTTCCCTTTTTGATGTTTCTCGTGAAAAAGTGACTTTGTTTTAAATAGCCCTCGGTGGTCCAACTCATTTCCAGTTGCCCTCATTTGTGTTCAGTCGCCGTCATGTAGCCAAATCAGATTAAATATGTGTACTGAAATGTGAGGGCAGGGAGCCACACCATCAACACAGGTATTTGAAATTCCACTACCTGCCTTTGAAGAAGGAATGGACACTACTAGGGTTGAAAAGTCAAAAGCATCCCAGATTCTGAAATTTCAGGGCCGAAAGCTGAGAACTAGGGATGCCCCAGGCGATGGAGGTTAATTGGGAAAGGGGAGCAGAGGAGGGAAGATTTCAGAGTGCCTATACTATAATTTGCTGCTGGTTCTTCCTGGGATGATAATTCATATGTGGTGGGGTTGCAAGGAAATAAAGAAGTTTTGGGGAATAATACATAAGGAACTTAAGAAAATGTTTTTAAAACCCTTGATAAAAAATCCCGAAGCTTATCTGTTAGGGTTGGTGGGCAAAGACATACCACATATGAAAAAAACAATCTTTTTATATGCAACAATAGCTGCCAGGGTAGTGATTGCTACTAAATGGAAATCTCAGGCCGTACCAACAAAGGAAGAGTGGATTTGTAAATTAAGTGAGTATATAGAATTGGCAAAATTAACTTCAATTATAAGATATCAATCAAACCAAAAGTTAAGAATGGAGTGGAAGTATTTCGAAGATTATATGTCAAAATATTGTTCTAAAAATGACATGTTGACAGGCTTAGAATAAAAAATTTAAGCAATAACAAAGCAAAGAAAGAAAGAAGGAAAAATCAGAATTTAACAAAAATAATTTATTATAGAATGCAAGGGGGGAAATGTAGAAAGAAATATAAAGAAGTTGAATTGCTGTGGAGGGAAGTAGAGGGTGGGGGTGGGTTTTATAATTGTGTATAATTATGTAGCTGTTGTAATTTAGATATTATATTTTATGTGAGGGAATCATTGGGAATTTTGGTTATTATGTATATATGTTAAGTTTCAATAAAGACCTTTGAAAATTTTATATATATATATATATATATATATATATATATATGCATGCAGGTTTTGGTGTCCTCGGGTGTCTTCCCGTGTAAAAGTTGGGGTGTCTAGGCGACGTTTCGACGAGGTCTCACTCGTCATCTTCAGGCTGGTGCTTTCGGCTTCTTGTTACTGGAACAGAGCAGGATCTCAGTGTTTGA